TCTTACTTATCCCACAGGGATACTTTATACGTATAAGGATTAAATAAATTACTGCACATAATGCACTTGGGATAGTGCCTGGCAAGTTTTCCAAGAAATATTAGAAGAGATGAAAGGAAGAAAGGAGGAGACAGACAAGATCCCTGTTTTCAGGAAGCTTATACCCCCGAGGGGGAAACAGATGGTAAACTGAGGAAGGAAAGGTGGGAGGGCCATGCTAAGTGCCTCAGAGACACTGATGTTTGGGACCTCATACCAGAGTTTGCAGTGTATGGGCCAAATATAGTCTGCCACCTGTTTTTATATGGGCCATGGATAAAAAATGGTTTTTCCAGTTTTAAATAGTTGGAAAAAAACCAAAAGAAGAATAATATTTCATGAAACTGTATTAGAGTTTAAATTCTAAAGCTACTTGGGTTTGTGGAAGCCTGTGGTGTACAGTAGAAGCTCGAACTTCATTTTGATTCTTGGTGTAAGTTCAAATCTTTTAAACCAGCATGGTAGCCAAGCATAGACAAATTCCAGGACAAACCCAGAGAGGAGAAGTTTGCCCTCAGAAAGAGTGTGGCTGAAAGTAGATTTTGCTCACATAAAGAATTAGGGAACTTGCCTGAGTGCATCTTTTTCTAATTTAAATTAAGGTTGGGGTCCTGGCATTGTTTGGTACCCTCCTTGTGGCTAAGACTTGTGGCTGTATGGTCATAAGTCATATCCGGACCACCACCTAGCCAGGCAGCAAAGGCCCAGAACCAACCCTGTAACCCTTCTGTGTCTTCAATTATGTGCATATCCCAATCATGGTCCTTGCCCCGATTCTGAAGCCCCAACTGCAACAGTGATGAATCCATCTGCTACCAATCATAATTTTCTGATGATTCCCTTTGTCTTCAATCACATGTAATTAGCCCCATGGCCATGACTCAGCAAACTCCGTTCTGTTTTCTGTGCTGTGTACGTGCTAATGGTTGCCTTCATCCTGGATCATTATCTTTGTTTTGTCTTTGCTCTAAGACTTAATAAAAGTGCTTCTATTGAATCTGTTTGAATCTGGGATCTCTTTTCCCCTACTGCAATACATGAAAATGTTATGAAGTTGAAATTTCAGTGTTGATCAAAAAAGCTTTATTGGAACAATAAAAAAGCAACACCTATTTAAATGGTCTACAATTGCGTTCATACTACAAAGTCAGAGCAATTGTGACAGTTTGTAAGGTCCAATAAACTAAAAATATTTACTATCTGGCCCCTTACAGAAAAAGTTCGCCAAATCTGCTATAGACTGAATATTCAGGGAGGGCCTCTCTGAGGAGGTGACATTTAAACTGAGATCTGAGTGATGAGTAGGAGTAATGCCCTACCCATTGCTCTCACCATGGATCCTGGTATCAAGTCCTGATCAGGGCTTTGTGACAGTCACTGGGCAACCGGCCTTGGCCTCCTCTGGGCTGGCTGCCAACCATGAACAGGCAAGGGCAGAGCAGTTCAGGCAGAGAGAACAGAGAAAGGCTGGAGCTTTCTCCAATCTTGTAACAGCCTTCCCAAAAGGTGGGGCTTTACCAAGAAATAGGGATAGGCCCCGAGATTCTGAGGGTGTCAGGGCCTCCCAGGCCACAAAGCCCAGATAGGCCAAGCAGAGGCTGGGAGCCAGAATTGCCTACGTCCTGGGCCAGTCCCTTCTCAGCCTGGCGTGATGCAGGAGACCAGGAACACCAGGCTGAATGGCTGGCTATATTTGCCTTTCTGGGGCCAATGACCGTGAAAGTCCAGGTTCGTTCTCAGGAAAAGGTGAGAAGAGGCTGGTACTCACCCACAGGCCTGAGAGCAGATGTTTTTCAGCTCATGGTTGGCAGCCAGCCCAGAGGAGGCCAAGGCAGGGAGCCCAGTGACTGTCACAAAGCCCTGATCAGGACTTGATACCAGGATCCATGGCGAGAGCAATGGGTGGGGCAGTGGGCCAGTGGGCGGTACAGGGCAGCCTTGGGTGCATTCAGGGCCTGTTATCCTGACAGCCCACAGTCTGCACCCTGCTGCATGTGGCCTACCCCCAGCGCATGAGGGTCTGACTCCAGCCAGGTGGGGTTTCCTGAGGTTGGGGAAAGAGTGATAGTCAACAAGTATAGTGCAGAGAGGATCCAGTTCCCAATCCTTTATTAACCAGTTTGTGCCCAGCCAGGCTCTGTGCTAAGGGGGTGAAGTAGGCTGTTAGGCCCACATTATAGCCAGAGAAAGTAAAGCAGGAGGGGGTACAAAGAGAGGAACTGTTTAAAGACACAGATCCTTCATCTGAATCCCAGACTCACCATTTGCCAGCTGCGTGACTTCGGGCAAGTGGGTTAACTTCTCTCACTTCAACTTGTGGATAATGATAGTATCCACCTCAAAGAAATGTAAGGAATTAATGAAACAACAGCCCAGCACATGCCCCCAGGAAAGGCTCAATAAAGGTCTCTGATCCTCATCCTATTCACATTCTCTTTGACAACAGCCTTAAGAGACCACAACTAGGAACTCAGGGTTTGAGCCAGACAGAGCTCTCTCTCTACCCTGTTCTACGAGGCCAAAACCCTGATATCATTCTTGGCTCCTTCTTTTACATGCCACAATCCATCAGCAAATCCTCCAGTGTGCACCCACGATCCAACCATTCTCATCACCTCCATGGGCCCCTTAATCCAAACTGCCATAGGCTCCTCCCACCTAGACCCTTACACAGCCTTCCATCCCTGGCCCCCTACGGTCAGCTCTTCACACACAACCAGACGGTGCTGATGAAAGTCAGCTCATGGCATTACCTTTTCCTCTCGCTTCAGTTTGTGGCGGGTGAGAGTATCTCTCTTCAAAACTCTCCAGTAGCCTCTCAACACACCCAGCATTCACTCACTGATTTATTCATTCATTCAATTTTTTTTTTTTTTAAATAATGTTTTATGTGAAAGATTACATGGCAAACCAGGTTCAATAATGATTTAAGTGCCTACTACATGCCAGGTTGCCTCTGGTGTCACAAATAGTTAAGCACTCAGCTACTGACTGACAGGTCGGCTGGTGGTTCCCATGCCCCAGAGGTGCATCTGAGGAAAGTCCTGGTGAAAGAGGAGCCATTGAGAACCCCACCGAAGGCAGTTCTGCTGTGACATACAGGGGCGGCCATGAGTCAGAATCGACTCCACAGCCGTTGGTTTGTTTTTGTTTTTCTTTAACTACGTGCCAGACACTGTTACAGGCATTGGAGATACTACAGAGAATAAAACAGCTTATCTTCTCAAGGAGAGAGATGGACAATCAACAAATATGTAAATAAAGCATATATATAGTATGTCAGGTGCTATGAGAAAATTAACTCAGAGAAGGGGACAAGGAGCCTTTTTTTGTTGTTGTTGTTTAATGTATTGTGATTTAAGTGAAAATTTACAGAGCAAATTAGTTTTCCACTCAACAATTCATACACATTTTGTTTCGTGACATCGATTGCGATGCCCACAGTATAATAGCACTCTTCCCACTTCCTCCCTGTGTTTACTGTTCCTTTGTCCATCTGTCTTATCCTATCCTGCCTTCTGAACTTTATCCCTGGGCAAATGCTGCCCTTTTGATCTTGTACAGTTGATTAACAGAGCAGTCAGGAAAGGCCCAGTGGACAGGGTAAAAGTTCAACAAAAACCCAGAAGTGGGGAAGGTGAGGAAGGTGGGGAAGTCAAGCTACCTGTGGAAAGGTGGAAGTGTGCCTGGTGTGTTTTAGTCATAGTGTGACTTAAGTGGAAAGTGTGTGTGTATGTACATATGTGTGTGTGATGGGGGTGGGGCAGGGGGAGGTCAGAGGGTTTAAGGAAACAGGGTTGGATCCTACAGCTTTTTGTAGGGTTTTTTGTTTTTTAACCTGGTTGAAAATAAAAACCACTGAATATTTCCAACATTCGAACAGAGGAGTGACTCAAGTCTTAAAGGACGACTCTGGCCTCTATGACCTTACAGTAGGGTAATCAGCCTCCTGATGAGATCCTTCCTAACCCCCCAACCTCACAGACCACTGCTAGGCATATAATAAGAGCTGTCATCAAGTTGATTGACTCATGGCAACCTTATGTACAACAGGCAGGACATGGCCGTGTCCTGTGTCCTCCTGATCCCTGGCATGTTCCAGTCTACTCTTGGGGCTACTATGTTAATCCATCTCATTGAAGGTCTCCCTCACCCTCACCGCCATCCACTTCACCAAACTCGATGTCCTGCTCCAGTGACCGATCCCTTCTGACGACACGTCCAACACAAGCAGGTTGGACAATATTCTGCCATGATCCATAAGATTTTCATTGGCTCATTTTCACAAGTAGATCACCGGGCCTTTCTTCCTGAAATAGTCTGGAAGCTCTGCTGAAATCTGTCCAGCACGGGTGACCCAGCTGATACTTAAAATACCAGTGACTAAGAGCCGTGGAGGCACATAATAGGGGACTAATAATATTTCTTGAATCAGTGAACAAACTAATGAATGACCCACCTTTAGATCATCAGCACCCATTTTAATACCAGACTCAATAAATGTTCGCAGGTAAAATATTAATTGAACAATTCTGCAAAGTCCAGGTGGTTATTCTTTATAGCTAAAGAAAATAGAGGCTGAGACTAGGTTAGTGTCCTTCCTTGGCACTGCCTAAGCTCTAAACTGAGCGTCTTCCTTCCTCCACGACTCTGACCAGGGTGAATTACAAGGCGCTGTACCAACAGCTCTTGCCGTCAGGGTGACTTAAAGTGACCTCAGAGTAGGCCATGTGACGGGAAAAGCCAGAACCTACTAGGGCCAGATAGTCACGTGTCCAAATCTCGGGAAGCGTCCAAGAGTCCCCCAGGAGGGTCCTCCCACACGCCACCTCCCACCTTCTGGCCACTGAGACGAAGGCCCAGAAAGGCCGCCCACGCGCGGCCGAGGCCCCGCCCCCTCTCGCCGGCAAGCCCGCGCCTCCAGCGGAAGCCGGAAGCAAAGGTGGGCCCTCCTAGCCCCGCGGCTCCGAACTCGATGGTTTTGGAGGCAACGCAGGATGGGGGAGAAGATGGCGGAAGAGGAGTGAGTGGGCATTTCTAGGGCGCTGAAGGCGGCAGGGCTGGGCCCCGGCGGTTGACAGCGGGCGCCTCAGGCTGCCCTCTGGCTCCAGAAGGCGGAGCTCCTTTTGCCCCTGGGCCAGGCCCGACCATGCCGGCCCCTGCGAGAAGGGCGGGAGGGGCGTACCTGGGCCCTGCAGCCTCCTCGAGGTCAGATCTTTCGGTTTGGGATCGGCCACCCATTGCAGGCCTGGAGGGCCGTCTTCGGGAAACCGCAGCCCAAATTTCACTTTTCCAGTTATTGGTCATCTGGTGATTACTGATCACTACGTCGCCTCCTCCAGGAAGTCTCCCCAGCCCCCTTCCCATTTTCACTTACTTAGCCAGATCTCTGTAACGATCTGTTTCCGCGTCTGTCTTCTGAACTGAGGTTATTCGTTCGTCCAGTAACTATTGGGCGTCCACTCCATTCCAAGCCCTGGGCCGATAACAGTGAAGGAGGCAGCCCTGGAGCCACCGCCAGGGACTTTACATTCATTCTAGTGGGAAAAAGACATAAATAGACAAAGATGATTCAGATCGTGACAAGTGCTCTGAAGGAAATAGAACAGTATTAGGATGGGGTGGGAGAAGCCTATGAGGAAAAGGTGTTGTGCCAGGTGAGACTTGAATGACCAGAGGGAAGGTTGGGGGAGGGGATAGCAGGTGCAAATGGCCTGAAACAGAAAAAGGTTTAGTGCTTTTGAGGGGCAGACCGGAGTGTAGGAGGCAAGGGGCAAGCAACGGAAGATGAGCGAGGTTGTGGGTCCTCCAGGTACTTCTAGGCAAGGACCACAGTGAGTGCATCTCCCACTATGCCTGTATACAGATGCCTTACCTTTCTGGAATGAGTTTGTGAGAATTAAGGAGCAACCCCTTGATTGATCTTTGACTGTCTCACTGACAGCATTTCAGATACGCCTTGTGACCGGGGGAGAGTCTTCGGCTCAGTCACAGACGCTGCTAACTTGGGCCTCAGAAGTGCAAAGCAGAGGTGGACTAGCCCAGTCATTTCAGGATTTAGTTTGAAGTTTGACTCTGCCACTGAGTAATGTGAGATGGTGGCCACATTATGTCACCTCCCTGAGCCTGACACTCATGGGTAAAGGAGGGACAGTACCTACCTCAGGGATGTGATGCCTATTAAGTGAGAGTTGGTGTGTTAGCTGCAGTCGTAGATGGTGCCAGTGGTTCAGGTGTTCAACTGCTATTCAACTGCTAACTGAAACATTGGATACCTCAGAAGAAAGGCCTGGCAGTCACCTTCCCAAAAATCGGCTGTTGAAAACCCTGTGGGGGTTATAGACTGGGTGGAACTGGTTACGTGTTAGCTAATCCCTGGAATGAAGCAAGTGCTCAATAAATACTAGCTGTTAGGATCACAATGAAAAGTATGACACTGATGCTGTAGTAGTTCACAATTCCAACACAATGTGAGGAGAGAGCTCGGGGAATGTAAGCAGTGGGGACTGATGGATGGGGGTGTGGTAGGGTGTTAGAGAGAAGGTTACATGGAAGCCTTTTGAAAGCTGAAGGCTTTAGTAAGGTGGGGGAAGAATATTCCCACCAGATCAGTAGCTGGGCAAATTGATGTGACTTCTTCGCTTTGTGGAAACAATCCAGGGAAGAGAACGTTAGCTGGGGAAATAAAGGTACTCAGTAGGCTCAGACCTTGGAATGGATGGAACTCCAGATGGACCCATTTTCTGTTCCCCAGTAAGTGCCAGAGAGCAGGCAGCATTTTGTCTCTACAAAGACCCTGATTCCCCTTGTTCCTGTGCTCTGCGGTGGCCATGTCCAAAAGCACCTCTGACCAGTGGCATGCCCCTGCTGCAGCCAGTGGGAATTGCCTCTTACCTGTTTCTCTCTGAAGCCTGCCTGTTGCTTGCAAGACTTGTGAATCCCATAAAGCTCTTTGCTAGATTGTCCTGCTTCGAGGGGTATGAGTACCTCAGGGTCCATTTTCCTTTACCTAATTCTGCTTTTTCTGTCTTCCGACAGGTTCCCCAACACAACTCATGAGGGTCTCAATGTCACCCTTCAGACCACCCTGGTCGTCACGACGAAACTGGTGCTCCCGACCCCTGCCAAGCCCATCCTCCCCGTGCAGACGGGGGAGCAGGCTCAGCAGGAGGAGCAGTCGAGCGGCATGACCATCTTCTTCAGCCTCCTTGTCCTAGGTGAATGTGCTTTGTCAGCACTGTCGCCGGCCTGAGTGGCCGTATGCTCCGTCAGTATGGTTAACACTGCCACCACTGTTAACTTTGCTGAGTCTTCCTCTCCTTAATTTTCCACTTCAAACACTGAGGGAGAGTGATCATTTCTTAACAGGGTACTCTCTTTATAAAGTCATGTTGTTGTGTGCTATTGAATTGATTCCAACTCACAGTGATCCTATAGGAAAAAGTAGAACCACCCCATAGGGTTTCCAAGGCTGTAATCTTTATAGTCTTGACCAGTAAGCTGCATCGTGATAAAGAGAGAAAAGATTGAAGTTGTCTAAGATTTCATATTACTTGGTTCCACAAGCCACACCAATGGAAGTAGTAGTCAGGAAATCAGATACTGTATCGCACCGGGCAAATCCGCTGCAAAAGACCTCTTTCAAGTGCTGAAGAGCAAAGATGTCTCTTTGAGGACTAAGGTGCGCCTAACCCCGGCCATAGTATTTTCAGTAGCCTCATATACTTGTGAAAGCTAGACAATGAATAAGGAAGACCAAAGAAGAGTTGGAAGAAGAGTTGATGCTTTTGAGCTGTAGTATTGGTGAAGGAGCTTTGGTAGTGTAGTGCCTAAGGCATTTGACTGCCAACCAGACGGCTAGCAGTTCAAACCTACCAGCTGCTCCTTGGAAGGAAGGTTGGGCAATCTACTCCCATAGTGATACTGCCTTAGAAACCCAAGGACGGGTTGTTCCGACTCCACGGCAGTGTTTTTGGTTTTGGTTTTTGGTTTTTGTTGGCGAAGAATACTGAAAGAATCACGGACTGCCAGAAGAACTAACAAATCTGTCCTGAAGGAAGTGCAGCCAGAATGCTCCTTGGAAGTAAGAATGGCCAGACTTCATTTTACCTACTTTGATCATGTTGTCAGGAGAGGCCATTTCCTGGAGAAGGATATCATTCTTGGTAAAGTGGAGGGTCAGCGAAAAAGGGTAAGATCCTTAACAAGATGGATTGATACGGTGGCTGCAATGGTGGGCTCAGGTATAGCAGGGATGGGGGGGTACACAACAGGCAGTGTTTTGTTCTGTTGTCCATGGGGTTGCTGTGAGGTGGGGCCCACTCAGCAGTACGTGACAACAGTCTTTATAGGAGCAGATCACCAGGACTTCTCTCCCACAGAGCCGCTTGTGGGTTCAATCTGCTGACCTTTCAGTTAACAGCCAAGCACTTAACTGTTGCACCATGAAGTACCCTTCATGTAATATGTTAGCCGTCCTCTGAGGAAAGGAAGTAAATAATTTCTGACCTAGAAAGAACCTCAGGCATCTTACAGTTTAGTGGATGTCAGCCTGTGTCTGTGGAGTCAAGTGTGTGTGTGTGTGTGTGTGTGTGTGTGTGTGTGAGAGAGAGGTGGGAGAATCCAGGGCCAGGGCATCCTGAGTCTAGCTTCAACCACAGCAGCATTTTTGTCTATTCTAGCTATTAGGCTCCTCCCATGTAAATTTTTTTTAAGTACAATTTTAGTAAAAGATTGGAAACCCTTGACCCAGCACATTGTTTTCCTCAGCCACTGTCATTGCTATTAACTATGGTTACAATTTGTGCCATATCTGTGCATTACCTGTACTCTTTTTACTTATGTCATTTTTTTTTCTTTTTAATGGATTCAGTCTTTCAAACTTAACATCTGATCTTGTTCAACTTCTCCTTTAATGAATGAATGAGGCCAGAAGAGGTTGATTGACATACCTGGTTGGTGGCAGAGTGGAAATTGAGATCCAGGTGGGACAGACATTGGTTAAGAGATTTAAGTAAAAGATGATAAATGCCCCCTGACAGTAGACAGCAGACAACCATGTTGTCGTTAGGTGCCGTTGAAGCGTCAATTCATAGCAACCCTCTGTACAACAGAACGAAACACTGCCTGGTCGTGCACCATCCTCACAATTTTTGCTATACCTGAGCCCATTGTTGCAGCCACCGTGTCCATCCATCTTGTTGAGACTCTTCCCGTTTTTTGCTGACCCTCCACTTTACCAACCATGATATCCTTCTCCAGAGAGTGGTCCCTTCTGACAACATGACCACAGTAGGTGAGACAAAGTCTAGCCATTCTTGCTTCCAAGGAGCATTCCGGTTGCACTTCTTCCGGGACAGATTTGTTAGTTCTTCTGGCAATCCGTGGTACTTTCAGTATTTTTCACCAGCACCACAACTCATGCATCAACTTTTCTTGGAAAAATGTCACTGAGACTGCATAACCACTGTGGATTAGCTGACGGAGGAAGAAAGAGTTAGAGTTTGACCAAAGTCTAAAGTTGGCCCTTTTGCATTTTCTTTTATTTAATAATACTGAAGTCATACTTCTAATTAGATTAGATCTTTTCAGAAGTGTGAATGGGGAGCTTCTATTGAACATTCCTTTAATGTCTGTAGGAACTTTTTTGAAGAAAAGTATTACTTCTTTCACATTTATATTTAGACTTTGGTAAAACGGTCAAGGAATCTCAGTAATACAGTAATTTTATTTGAAATTCTTGTCCTTTACAGATTTACACAAACTTTTACTGATCACAGGAAAAGTACACAAATCGGAAGTGTACACTGTCCCATATAGGTTAATACACTCTGATAATTCTTTACCCTGTAAATGTAGTCAGATTTTGTTCCTAGGGGATTAAATCAACAGTCAAAGACTTCTTCTTTTATTTTTCTTCTGTTATTGTACTTGAATATAAAGAAGAAAAGGAATCCTTTTCCTCATGAAGTAATCTTTGGCACTGATATTTTCTTCAGGATGAAGGAAGATTATTAACACAGTTAATGTTGCTGTCAGCTGGAGCGACTGCAGCTTATAAAAGGCAAGCCCAGAAAAAAAAAAAAAATGTGTTTTGTAATCACTTTTTTCAAAGGAGTTGAAAGTACAGGACTTTCAAAGTAACTTTCAGGGTGTGGAGCATTTAAGATTAACTTGTGCCAGAGAACACAAAACAGGTTTTTATAATGTGCTTTTAATCCAGGCAAGATCCTGCTCATTGTTAATACATTTATTTTTAAAAATGTTTTCTTGTGTTTTAGGTGAAAGTTTACATAGCAAATTAGGTTCCCATTTAACAAGTTTTGTACAACTTACTGCATGACATATTGGTTACATTTTTCACAGTGTGTCAGCAATCTCTGTATTTCCATTCTTTGCCTTCTGTTTCCATTAATCTAGCTTCCTTGCACCTCCCTACCTTCTCATCTTTTAGGATAAGTGTTGACCATTTTGGTCTCATGTAGTTGGTTATTTTAGTGAGCACAGTATTCATGGGTGATATGGTTTGTCCTAATAGGTAGTCTGTTATTGGGATGAAAGGTGACCACCAGGAGTGGCTTCAGTTCCAAGTTCAAGGGTATCTTAGAGTCATGGTCCCGGGAGTTCCTCTGGTCTCTTTCACTCCAGGAAGTCTGGCCTTTTTAGGAGTTTGAGTTTTGTTCTGTGTTTTTCTGCCCTTTATCCAGGATCTTCTATGACACCTGTAGTCAGAACCGTTGGTAGCCAGCATCATCCAGTTCTTGGGAATCTCAGGTTAGATGAGGCCATGGTTCAGGTGGGCTGTTAGTCTGTGGACTAGTTTGTTCTTTGAGTCTTTGGTTTCCTTCATTGTCTTCTGTTCCAGATGAGTGGAGACCAGTAGTTGTATATTAGATGGCCACTCACGAGCATTTAAGACCCTAGACACTATACTCACCAGCTAGGATGTAGAACAGTATCTTTATGAACTGTGCTCATGGACTAAGTTGTCCTCCAAGACTGTGGCTCCAGGCCTTCAAACCCAGTTAACCAATCCCAAAAGGTTTTTGGTGGTGTCTAGTAGTGTAACTAGGGGAACTGTCCCCTATGTGGTTTATTATATGTATGAATATGTATGTATCGCACATAAACATGTGTATAGTGTGCCTACAGATAGACCTGTACATGCACATCCATGTGCTCACGTGTGCCTTCCTATATGCATATATGCATACATGTCTACCTATGTAACCAAAACCAGAAAAACCAAACTCACTGCCATCAAGCCGATTCAACTCATAGCGACCCCTCCTTGGGTTTCTGAGGCAGTATCTCTATGGAACTGTTGCCTTCTGGTGGCATAGTGCCTAAGGCATTTGACTGCTAACCAGAAGGCTGGCGGTTTAAACCCACAAGCCCTTCCTTGGAAGGAAGATTGGGCAATCTACTTCCGTAGAGATACCTCCTCAGAAACCCAAGGAGAGGTCGCTGTGAGTCAAATCAACTCAACGGCACTGAGTTTGATTTTTTTCCCTGTGTAACCACACACATGTTAGTACATCTTTGGGGCTAGAAAGGGACACTAACATCAGGTGGATTCTCTTTTCACCGCATCAGATTCTTGGTGGTTTATGAGTTGATATCTCTGCTTTTCATGTGTAGGTCAGCATGCATTAGTGGAGTGAAATGATGCTATTTATTTGTTAAACTTTTTGTTGTGGTTTGAGTGAAAGTTTACAGAGCAAATTAGTTTTCCATTCAACAATTCATACACTCTTTGTTTCATGACATTGATTGCAGTCTCCATGATCTAACAACACTCTTCTCACGCCTTCCCTGTGTTTCCCGTCTCCGTTTGTCCTTCTTTCCTGTCCCTTGCTGCCTTCCGAGCTTTATCCCTGGGCCGAGGCTGCCCTTTGGATCTCCTGAGGTCCTGTGGTCTGAGGAGCAAGTACCTCCTTGTTCACCTTGGAGGCACGTCTGTAGTTTGACAGTGTTTTGTTTTGTTTTTTAAAGTAAATCTGAAAGCCTTTTTCTTCCTCTGTTCTTGTATAATATCGTTTATTCATGATTATTCAAACAATATAAATCTGTCAGTTTTAAAAATAAAAAATTGCCATTAGTAGGTAACTTGCTACCTCACTAAACACCTGACCT